CCTAATATTTTAAAAGGAAAAACTCCCTAGGGTAGCTTTATGGCAGCCGTGGGCAAACTATGGCCCGCGGGCCGGATCCGGCCTGTTTGAAATGAATAAAACTATTGAAAAAAAAGACCATACCGTTTTATGTAATTATGTTTACTTTGAATTTATATTAGTTCACACAAACACTCCATCCATGCTTTTGTTCCGGCCCTGCGGTCCAGTTTAAGAACCCATTGTGGCCCTCGAGTCAAAAAGTTTGCCCACCCCTGGTCTAGGGTCAGGCCCTTCTTTCACATTGAGTAGTCCTTTGTTTATTCAGGAATCTGAGCCCCTCTCCTCTCTGTGCCCCACTCACTTCCCGTGTCCAGTCCCCCTCCCCCCACGCCTTGGCTGGAGGTGATGACACCTGCTGACTGCACATCCCTGAGTGGCGGTCACAGGGGTTATAGGAAGTGTGCAGAGGCCTGACCCACAGCAGGTCAGCCCCCACAGTGGTACAGGTTGTGAGATATTAGATACCTTTGTCCCAGTTAGTAATTAGCTGCTACCTGAGGACCCCCAGGAACTTTCCCCTTGGTACCCCAGCTCCATCTGCAGGACCCCCAGATCTTTCCCCATTTAGTTTCAAAGAATGGAAGCCTTGTCTAGCAGGGTACGCCCAGCATTTGTTCTGCTGGGTTTGTGTGGGTGCCCGTGAATATGTGATCAGAAGGCTTAAGTTGTAGGTCTGTGGGAATGTGGGATCTGAACTCTGAACCTTTTTCACAGACTGTTGATTTGGCCATTGGGGGACCCAGGAATTAGCTTCCAGCCAGGGCGGCAGCTGCACTTATAGCTGCCCACATTGTTGAGGCATTGGGTGGTTTTGTGGCAGGGGTTTTGCCCTGAGATACACTCATTCACATCTGAGGACAAAGCCAGAGCATCAGGCCCTCCCCACACCCACTTCTCATTGCCTGAGGATCCCACCGTCAGTACACATGCCACCACTTGGTAACCTTCAACTTCACCCTCAAAGCACATTACGGTGACCTCCCTACAAGATGAACACGACAGGGACCATGGTATCCAGTTTATAGTTGGCAAATCCAGGAGGGAAACTGAGTCACAGGGACTAGGTTTCTTGACCAAGGACTTCTGCCTACACCCTCCTGGGCCCTGGCCCTGGTTCCCTTCTGGGAACCAGAAGTCACCCCTCCCTCTGCTGCATGTGCCAGATGAGGAAAGGTAAGGTCTGAGGGGTGCTCATGGAGGCACAAGGAAACCCCAGGCCCAGAAAGCCCTGCCACCACCCTGCTCTGTGGCAGGACTTTTCAGGGAGGCGAATCCTTAGGCAGGGCCTTGGCAGGGAACCTGAGAATCTTCTCCTGCCTCCTGGGGCTGCGGGACCTGCGTCGGCTCCTTCCCCAGCTCCATCCAGTCCATCCCAGCGTCCTCCTCCCGGGGCCTCTACCTGTGCACAGCTTCGGGTCCTCTGGGTTCAGCTCAAATCCTGGTGGGCACGTGCAGGTGTAGCTGCCATGGGTGTAGACACAGTTGCTGCGGCTCTTACAGATTCTGGGGTTCAGACATTCGTCCATGTCTGCAAGGGGAAGGAGAGGGGGATGGATGCCAG